CATTGCATGCGAGCACGGTGAGTTAAAAACTCGTGAAGGCCAATTACACCGTTTCCATCCGTGTCAATACTTCGGAACAGGCACCTCCCGGCGTCCATGTTAGCCACTTCCCCCAAACTCAGAGCAAGCCGTGCAAACTCGTCCATGCTCAGCAACCCATTCCTGTCGTTGTCGTACATGCGAAACTGCATCATGATGGTGTTGTAATCGGACTGTGAGAGCCCGTAAAGGGCGTTGGGATCGGGCCGGTTCTGAGACAACCACGTGAGGAACTCACTGAGGGAAAGAGTACCGCTACGATCCGTGTCCATTTCTCTGAACATGCGATCAATATCGCGGTCGCTTCGGGCAAAGTTGAGCCATCTCGCTAAGCGGCCAATCTCACGACGGTCCAGCCAACCGTTGTCGTCAGTGTCGAAAAAGATAAACAACGCCATGATCTGGTCGTACTCCTCACGCGACAGGCCAAACTGGTGCCACGGCTCCTGCCCAGTCGGCTGCAGCACGGCGTACTCCGGTTCTGCCGCAGAGGGAGAGGACACAGCATCCATCTCCACGCCCGTACGACACGTGTGGGAGTTGCCCTGCTCGCGCGTCCCAGTCCAACCGCACCCGCTACACTTCACAGGCACCATCAGAGCAAGGTTCACAAGGACGCGGTTCGGCTTTTTATTTTTGGTCACAGACTCGCGACACATGGGGCACGTGCGCACGTCCTTAACGCACTCCATGCAAAAAATGTGCCCACACGAAACCAGCTCCACCGGGTCCTTCCAAGAATCCAGGCAAAGGGCGCAGCGCAACTCCTCACTGCACCTCGTGGCCATGATAATGGGAGGCATGAGTAACTACGGGCACGGACAAAGTCTTCCTCGAAAGAGAGGGATGATCCTCCTAACTAATCACCACCTTACAAGGGAGAGAGGAATAAGGCAGCGGCAGACACGCATGCTGAGTAGCCCAGCAACACTTCGCACACCTCCATACTCGGTCTCCGCCCTTCCCTCTCTCTCAGTTCATTTTTTTTTGACTTGTTTGTTTGTTTGTGT